CTCGAAACTTCTAGACGACGACAATGTCTCGGAACTAACAAAACATTTATAACCACATATACGAAACTGGAACACTGTCACAAATATGGCTGGAGTCTACATTTATCCCACTTCCAAAAAAACCTAATACATTATCATGTAAAGACTTAAGACTAATTAGTCTCATGAGTCACTCTCTCAAGCTACTTCTTAGGATAATTCATAATAGAATCAGGCAGAAATGGGAAATAAACAATTCGGATTCATAGATGAATTGGAAACAAGGGAAGCTTTGTTCTCAATGCTAACACTACTTCAACGATCACAGGAAGTACATAAACCAATTATTGTCTGTTTTATAGATTTTGAGGCGTTTGATAGGGTTCAACATGGTAGGCTGTTTGAATATCTAGAAACGATTGGTATAGATGATAAAGATCTGAGACTTTTACAACATCTATATTGGTATCAACAAGCTTCTATTCTGGTAGACGGTAAAGAAACAGACAAAATTTGTATTAAAAGAGGTGTTAGACAGGGTTGTGTGTCGTCCCCAACTTTGTTTTACGTTTACTCAGAAATAATTTTCAACGAAGCCTTAGAAGGGCAATGTGGAGTTCGAATCATCAGATATGCAGATGACAACGCAATCATGACTGAAAGTATCGAAAATCTTCAATTCCTTATAGAAATTATATAGAATATAGGTTTTTGCACAATTAATATTAGGGTATCACTGCACTATCACTGCCCTTATCAATTTCATTCAAGCAACAACTGTTACCATTTCTTTTCAAGTCAAATGTCTTAGGGCACATACAATATATCTATTGTCATAAAATTCTAATCGAATTTAAGTAAAAAATCGAATATTTTCCTTTTAATCATTTTTTGGTAAGTATTTAGAATATGCTGCTTTGATTTCTCCCTACTGGCACGTATTGTTTTCATCCAGTTTAGTTTACTTTTAATTTAGCAATATATTTCTAAAACATTCACCATTTTCTAACATAAAGGATCAAAAATTCGATTATAAAATTGAAAATACTCACTGTATATTACGATCTCGTGCAATATTTGTTTAAATGATATAAAGAATAGTCATAAATTACCTAAATTGACTGTAATACTATTAAATTCAATAAACGGAATTGACAGGACAAACTCTTTACTTATGGTTAAAATTAATGTACAATTAAATAATCTCATTTTATGGTTTTAAATAGAAATAATGTTGACTTGTATAAAACGTTTACGTCCATGAAGACTGTAGTGAAATCCTAAATTATTTTTATTTAACTGTGACAGAACGTCAAAACCACTCTCTTAATTTTCTCATACAGGACATTCTTCTACGGCCTGGATTTCTGCGTCTTTGGATTTTTCCTTGCATTATATTTTGTAGGAATGTGTACTTTTGTTCTCTCATCAGGTGGCCTAAGTATTCAAGTTTTTTCTTTTTTATATTCATAATAACTTCTGGATCGTTATTTATTCTGCGTATTACCTCTTCATTTGTAATTTTATCCACCCAACTTATTTTTAGTATACTGCGGTAGCACCACATCTCAAAGCTTTCAAGATTTTTAATATTCCTCTGTTTAAGAGTCCATGCCTCAACACCGTAAAGCAAAGTACTGAATACATAGCATTTTAACATTCTAGTTCGTAGTTGAATAGGGGAAATGTGCCTATGATGGTCCCCTTAAGAAAATAGCTTCATAATAATTTTAATTATTTACTTAGCAGACTTTAAATATGACCACATAACGTCTCGTTATTTGTACAATATGGCAAATGTTTCAAATTTTGCAGAAAAAGTGATGTTAAAAATTTATTCATAATTTACTAAAATCCTGTTAAGGGTCCATCATGGGCATATATGCGCTCATGATGGACCCTTTGGTACGCCCATGATGGACTCGTTGCATTTTGTGTAAAATAATTAAATACCAAATTATTTTATTAGATCAAAAGACATTACAAAAATTACACATGGTATTTTTAAGAATAAAAAAATTACGCGCACAATTCACACACACATTGTTTATGTCGAGGATTTACATCTGCACATTCAGTGTGATACCAATTCTTACACACTTGACAACGAATCCATTTTTCATCGGATCGTGAATGCGAAAATAGTTCGTTACAGTAGATGCAAGCTGCATCGTCCGAGTCGCCTTCTACAAAAGAGCATTCACAATCGTCTTCAGAACCACTTGTAGTTGAAACATGAACTTGCCTTTTTACTTTTCTGGCGTCTTGTTTCCTTTTTTTGCTTCTTTGTCTGCAATTTTTTGTTTTATATCTTCAATTTCTGGCGTTGAATTTAAATATCCTGTTTTACCCCGTTTTCTACCCTTTTTTACTTGAGATACTCCAGCTAAAGGAGGAGGACAAATATCTTCTACCGAGATGTTTAGAACTGACGATGATGTTGATTTCTGATCAGTGGGGCTTTTTGATAAACTTTCAATCGAAGAAACATTTTGGCTCCAATGTTCCGGTGGTGACTTCTAGTCAGAACATTCTGGCAGTGGGTTTTGTTCAGAATTTTCTTTATCTGTTGTTATAGACGGCAAAAATTGCCAATCCTCGAAGACATCTGGATTGAATGGTTGTATTCCTGTCTTATTAAATGCATTGATTGCATTTGATGGTAAAGCACTTTTTAAATACGCTCTATTAAAGAGACTGGCTACTTTAAATTGGGTCACCGTTTTACCTGGATTCTGTCGCAGCCATAATTGAATTTCTTGGCCGTAGTAAATTTGAAGTGGTCTAAAAAATCTTACGTCCAAGGGTTGAACGTGATGAGAACAGTGAGCAGGAAAACAAAACATAATAATACCGTTTTCCTTTGCAAACTGGAGAGCTTCAAAACTTTTGTGACTACCATGGCCATCGAGTAACAACAAAACTTTGTTGATTTTAGAAGCCTTGTATACCTTAAAAAATGTTGCAGCCACAAATAGAAAATATTGGAAGTCATCCATCCTTTTTCTTGAGCGAAGGCTATATTTCCAGTAGGTGCATCGATCATAAGTTCATCTTTCTTTCTCTGTCGAGGAAAAATCAAAGCAGGAGGAACATATGTTCCAATTGCATTCATTGCACATACGACCGTAACATGTAGACCGCGCTCTGCACTACTTAAAGCACCAACTTGTTTGCGACCTTTACTAGCATAAATTTACTGTGATTTCTTTTGCACAGTTGTCAAACCGGACTCGTCCATATTATAAATGTTTTCCGGTGGAAAGTGAAACTCGTCTAATATATTTGCTAATGCAGTAAAATAGGCACATATATTTGGTTTATTAAAAGCTTGAGCCCTTGCCAACGAAGTATTTTCTGGAGTGCGTAATGATATTCGAGGATTTCGCTTTAAAAAGCCTCTGACCCATTTCCAGCCTGCCATCCTGGTTTCCTTATTAAAATTGTGGCTAATATTGTTTCTTTCGGCTACTTCGTATACAAGCTTTCGCAAATATTTACTAGTCAGGCCAAAAAAACGAGTTTCCATAGTAATAATATGGTCAGCAACTTCCTGTTCAATAGTAGTGGAGAATATTGGTCTTCGTCCACCCAAATCACCTTTGATACTTCCTTGATGCTTAATAAAGCGCCTTTTCAAAGTCGTTTTTGGAACGTTAAATGTTTTTGCTGCCAGCTTAAACCCCATAGTTTTTTCTTGTATGCTTTTTAAAGCTTGTTGCATATTACTCTCGTTCCACTGTTGCCTTTTTTGTAGAGCCATCCCTGTAAAACATATTATGTTAATCATTAAGTAACAAAAACTGAAGGTGTGTCCAATTTTATTTTCTTTTTCCTATGACCCCTAGTCTGTCATAGGTAACGACACAGGGGTCCATCATAGGCAAATAGACAAGGCAGCAAATTTAATTCTGTTACTTTTGTTTTGACCATTTTAACCTAAAACAAAGTATAGTATTTGACAAAGAAAGTGTAGTCATTTTATACAAAACAAAAGCAACACTTAGCTTAACGTATGCAAAACATTCGAGAAAAATGTTTTTAAGCAAGGATTACAAATTAGACAAAAACAAACTTCAATCAAACCTCAAACCTCAAGATTATTTTAAACTATGTAATTAGTTAAGTGTGAGACATGTTACAGTTATAAAAAAATGTGTAGAACATGAATACAAATCTATATAGTGTATGTACGCATTCTCTTTATGAAATACCTACTTTATTTTATTTATTCTGAATTTTTCTGTATACGCCAGTAATCCGGCACCCTCACTCTATCTTAAACTCGACAAGATAAATGTTTTGACAAAAATCCACAAACCGGTCCTGATTAGTTACCGACAAATCGTGTTTTAAAATTTCAAAGTATAATAATTAATTAAGAGCCAAAGAGGTTTAAGCTATAACGAATATATTTTTTTATAACGAATGTATTGTTTGAAATGACGTTCACTAACAATCTTGATTCAAATATACATTTTACTCAAGACCTCAGCAGCTATTCTCCGGCATTCGGTGAAAACTATTTGTTGCAGTTGTACATTTTCGAATAAAAATCGAAATCATTGGGGTAAAATCGAAGGGTTTGAAACCTAGAGATCTAGCTGGTCATTATATTGCATCTCTCCGACCAATCCATCGTGCAGGAAAACACTCCTTCAAATACTTTCGAACCTGTAGAGCATAAGGAGGTCATTATACATGAGGAGCATTATACATTATTGCTGAAATATTATCTAATCCTCTACCAGCTTATAGTCGTTTTCTCAAATTTTTCCATTCTGATAGGGTCAATGGTAAAAATTCCAGGTAAGTCCAGGCCCAGGCACATAACTTATATTAAACAGTCATATAAAAACAGTACATTGCCTTAAAACAAAATATTATAGTGTATGGTTAATAGCATAATTAGTAGAAAAGGAAATTAATACCCTTGATATTTTTTATTCCTCTCATTCAGCTGCCAATGTCATTGTCAAAAAATATATGTAGAAAAGTAAGGTTAAAGATTTTATTTATTTTTAATTAACCTAAAAATATTTATTTTTAACTTTGTTTTTAACAAATACAAATATGTTAAAAGTTATTTTACTTTTAATTTATGTGCATTTTTCACTATGTTGGAATTTTGACGTTCGCTGTTTATATGTTGATTGTGATGAGTCTAACACAAATACAAAAAAATTTAATATTGGTGAAAAATTACAAACTTATAATCCTTATTGCCTAGTTTTTGATTGTAAAAAAGGAAATATCAACTCCGAAGACGAGAAAAATGATCATACGCCAAGTATAGAACAGGAACACGATTCCGAAATTATTAATAGATTAAAGAAGTATAATCCCTATTGTTTAGTTTTTGATTGCAAAGAAGACAAATTGAACACTGAAAATGTTGACCCAAATACGAAATCAGTACCAGATACATTGAGTAATCTGGACAAGGGTCTTTACTGTTCATTATTTGATTGTGAGGAAGTAAACAGAGACCCTGAAAGTAAAGAAGTTCAATCTAAATCCAAATGGAATCCGTATTGTTGGTTTAATAATTGTTATCAATCTAACAAAGATTCGGAAACGGAACAAGCGAAATTCTGGCACTATGATTACTGGTTCAAAAAAGACAAAGAAGGTGATTCAAAATCATGGGGAGACAGATTTTACTGCAGTTTTAAAGACTGTTCTAAAGAAATAGATGATAGTCAAAACATTGAAAGTAGATTTACCATAAGTGGAATATATAACTCTGCAAAAGATTATTTAAATGCAGCAAAACCCCAAGATATTGTTGCTGATAATGTATTTTCATCAGAAATTAGTCCATATTGTTGGTTCACTGAATGTTGCAATAGTAATACAATCCCAGGTGATATACAAAGTAAGTACATAGTAGTATAAACGTTATTTAAATACATTGGCAAAAATGCAGTTGAGCACTCTTATACACTGAACATTTTGAAGGTGTAAAAATACCTAGAACAATTCTGTAATTTTACAGTAAAATTAACTGGAAGTCACAATACAGTGATTCAAATTGAGTTTAATAAAAACAATTTGTAAAAGGATTCAAAATTTGCCATTGTATTTATGTTGCTATTATTTATATAGGTTTGAGTTATGATTTGACACCATTTATATTAGTATACTGATGCAACTACTCCTCTAATTAGCAAAATGTGTTGATTTTCTTCTCTGACTATCAGTTCTATGCATAGCCATGGATTTGAATTATTATTTGATTCAAATTGGTATATTCATGCAAACCCTTCCAATTTTTCTGAATGAAGTAATTTCATTATATAGTAGTACATTTTCTATTTATTTACCTTTACTCTTTCAACTATGTGATATTAATAACCACAAAATACATTCCTGAATAACAAGAGTTTCTTTTATTTGATGAACCATACATCGATCACCATCTTTTGAAGCTTTATATTATTGAGATCTTCTATCTCAGTATTTCAGTACTTGTAGAGAAAATAGACATGTTTATGTCTAAACTTATGTTAAAATTTATATTCTTTTCAATGTTAAGTAGTTAAGGATGAATTAAAAGGCATTATTATTTGATTTAACCATCATTTTGTTTGGTTAGGATTGGGTTCGACCAAATGTCGAATTGTTGTTCATATAATGATGTCATTCATATAGTGATCCTGACAGCTCTTATAAAAAGATAGAAAAGATTTTTTAACTTCTTGGATCGTTGGGGCAATAGTACTGAAACTAGTTGGAGAAAAAATTCAGATTCTGGCTTTAGTCTTGGGTTTATATTGTAAGTTACAACAACAAATAAGAGATTATACAATATATACACACCTTGACTAAAACTTTTAGGTCACACAAGCACCCCTAATATGACTGAATGACCACTTATGTATGGCTTTATGTATTCTCCGGAGCAGGGCTCAGTTAAATTAGAAATTGAAAAGTTTTTTGATGTCAGTGCCAGGACTTGAACCATCGAGCAAAAATATAAAAGAGGGAATGTAAAGGTAGTGGGGACAAAAATATTGTGAGACAGGAAGTGCTATCTTGAGAGGCCACTTTAAACAAGGAAAGACAGTCTCTTTCCTTGTTTAAGAAGTCAAATTTAGTTTGGTTATGTTATTGTTTGTCCCAACTGTCACATGAAATTTTATTTATATTGAAGTTTTTTACCAATTATGTCACTTTTTAGACTATTATCATTAATATTTAATTAAAACTTTCTTGTCTGAAAAATATTTTACAGGTATTGTTAACAAGTGTTGGAAAATTTAAATTTAGCGCCTTTGCATTTCCGGATATGTCCGCCATCAGAGGCCACTTTTTTGGTCTCCTTTTCATAACGATTAGATTCCCTCTTTTATCTTTTTGCTCGATGACTCGAACCCAGAGCCTCCAGCTTGTTAAGCCAGTAACATAGCTGTTACTGGCTACAGTACTGCCACCCACTAAATAGACGAACAACTATTTTTAGTAAAAAGTATGAAATAGAAGTTGGTGCTGTTAAATCTTATTTTGTAACTCTACAAGCACAAGTTAATTATGACTTTATGTACAGAGCCATGTTGAACCTTCAAATAAAAGTGCTTTTTTTGAGGTGATCTCTTCACCAGTTCACAAGTCATATTATCATTTTCTGTTTTCTGACTTTTAGACATGATGTTCTCAAGGGAATATAATCAGGTGGTTTCCCATTATCTGCCTGATCCTTATTCTATTGTACAAATACTTGGTTCCTCTGTCTTGTGTCAATTTCTCAACCCCAGGGTAAAAGAGTGTCAGATCACTTACCAACTCATCCCCGAAACGTTGGTAGTAAGTGTGAGATTTATACTGGCAATTACTTGGTCCCTATCTGTGTTAGCCATCCAATTGTAGGTTGCAGTCATCTACCATATTTATAGGAGGTAGCAATTTGGGTTTTTACTTCACCAAGATTAAAACATTTCAGCAATTCCTAATCTCTAGAGAGCTTTAAAAGACAAAATATTTGTATGGGTAGTCTTTTTTTTTAAATACTATTTCTTCATATTTTTACGCCTATCAGGAAATAAAACTAGCAAGTTAGCAAATTAATCTTAAATTTTTGAATATTGATATATATTTGACTCCTTTGAATAGTGTATGAATTACCAATCTGTGATTATATTTTTTTATGTTTATTTTTAGAATTATCATCTTTATTAAAAACAAAATTATATGGTCAACCCTTAGCATCTACAGTTATAGATGCTATAAGTCCTCATTGGGACAGTAACCATCCTTCAAGAAAAGCACTGGTCCTAAGCTTGCATGGTCCTATTGGAACAGGGAAAAATTATATCAGCGAGATGGTTGCTCAGAGCTTATTTAAACTAGGAGTTCAAAGTAAATATGTTCACTATTTTTCAGGAAGGCTTCATTTTAACCAAGGGGGAAATTCTGATGAATACAAAGTATGTGATACAAGCTTTAAATATTGGTGGGTGATATTATTATGTAGAATTCCTTCACACCTTCTAATATACCCAAAGTGATATTTAACTAGTTTGCTAGCATTTTTAAATTTGCAAATTGACTTAGAGAGAGATTTTTGTATCAAACTTTACATACCATAAAAAGAACCAAAATGGAGTTAGAGGCATGGTCATGTAAAATGTTGAAGCAAAACTTTTATACTTTTATATCTTACAAACAGAAATGTTCATTACAAATTGATACCTTTTTATATCATTATAAAAAGACTATTAAATACTAATTTCTCTCGATGAGCTGGTAAAAACATTTGTGTTAAAGATAGTCTCAATTAGAAAGGCAATGTAAAAAGAAAATTTGCTTTGGACATAATTGAGAGAAAATTTTTAAGGGATGTACCCCTTAAAAAAAATACTAACTACTAAAAAAAATACTAAAATTAATTATTATTGACTTTTTTTGTTTCCCATTAGCCACTTTAAAAAAGAAGTTAAAACTTTTTTTTTGAAAAAATAAAGATATTTCTTTTTCAGCAAAATTTGTACAGCTGGTTAAAAGGCAACGTAACTTCCTGCAGTAAACAATTGTTTATATTTCATGATGCAGACAACATGCCTGAACAGTTATTAAATTCCATCTTGCCTATGTTGGATTACCGAGAAAAAGTTGATGGAGCTGATTACAGAAACGCTATTTTTATGTTTTTGTCCAATAGTGGATCACAATTGATTATAGATAAATTAAATGATCTTTACAATCAAAATAAAACTCGCGCAGATGTAGAACTAGAAGATTTTGAAAAAGTAATTATCAAAGATATTTTTAATCATCAAGGTAAGGGTAGATAATTTTTATTATAAGATTGTATGCTTTTTTTTCTTTCTTTTGCACTAAATTCTTTAATGCGTTCAAATTCTTTATGTGTTCTAATTGAATATTGCCGTTGTGCTATCAGCTAGAAGACCATATATTGTTTTTAATATTTTGCCTCCATTCGGTATAACAGAACAGCGAATATCCCCCATAAAGTGCGTGGTGCCTCATAGTGGCGGGATACAAGCAAAAATGTATTGGTTATCTAAAAGAAAGTTTGACTTTCCTTAGGCCAACTATCTGCCTCTTATTTATACAGAGTTGTCCTTAAGTAATACAAAAAGAAGCAGTAGATTCTACACAATAAAATCTTATGATTTCAGCTAACTTGCTTTAATAAAATGTTGATACATTTGAAATTTAAAATTTTATATTAATACAAATAAAACTCTGCTGCTGCCAAATCTAAAAATTGATAATGAAGAAAAGTTTTGAAAGTCCCCACGAAATCGCAAAAACAGCATAAAAGCAATACAAAACTTACTACCGAAGAAATAGAGAGATGCATACGACAGATAATAACGACAAATTACTAAACTGGGTGACAGAAAACTGTGTAGTCATTATTAATTAGACTGTGCTGCTTGGAAACTTTCTCGCTGAAACCTTTACTTAGAGTTTCTTATAGTCCAAATATTCAATGTTAAAAAGACTTTAATGGATAATAAGACGATTAACATCGCTAATTACAAGTTAAGCGAATATTTGAAGCAAGGGTCAAAAGAATACCAGCTAAAAAAGTTTGAAGTTCTGTCTAGAGAAGATGTTTTAAAATTTACCCTTGAATCACCGAATGAACCGTTTTTAATGAACAAAGTTGCATTAATATTTGATATATTTGGTGGATGTCGACGGCAAGAACTGGTGAATATGCTAATTACTCACGTAGAAGATAGAAAATCAGTTTTTGTGCTAAACGTACCAGAGACAAAAACCAATAAAAGGCGTGTTTTTACCATTATTGACGAAGACAAAATAAATAGTTTCAGTAGATCATCTTATTTACGACCATGTGGTTGTTCAAAAAAGATCTTTTCTTGCCTGTAGACGAGGTTACTGTACTCTACAAGCAGATTTCGAAAAATCTCCTTGATCGTTGCGAAATATCTGGGTTTGAGCGATCTTGACAAATATATAGGTCACTGTCTGCGTCGAACATCGGCAACTCTTCTGGCAAACGCTGAATCAACATTTTCTGCTGGCAATCTATCTATCACCTGATCTTTCCAGAATTACCAGTTTTATGTGAATTCAACTAAATAATGTTATGTAGTTATAATAATTTAATTCCATATTTTATAACTAATAATAAATGTTATTAAGAAATTATCCGATTTTTTTGTCTTTATGCCTGTGCGGGTTATAACATAAAGTACACTATTATGTAGTTGGTAACTAAACCATAAACCAAAAATAACACAATAATGAACGAGAATGACATAAAAAATATTACCGTTTTAAAAAAATTATTACTGATGCATTAAATGTGTCTATTCTATAATGTATACATTTTAGTAATTATTTTCCATGCTATTTAAGGTGGATTTTACCATTCTGATACAATAAGCCACAATCTAATTGATCATTATATACCACTCTTACCAATGGAAAGAACACACGTTGCAGAATGTATTATTGATCAATTTAAAGAGAGAAACGTAGATTCTCCTACTGAAGAACATGTCACGTAAGTACCAAATCTATTACTTTTTAATATACACAGCAATTTATACATCCTTATATATTTTTATTTTTTTTGCAAACACCCCCTTTACCTTTTTATTTGTTCTGAATAGTAATTGAGTCTAGTTGGCTCTCACTCCCTCGAATGGGAAAATTCACTCATCGCTTATACCTATGGTATCAAAATATTGGAGCTTGTTTGTTTACTTTTCACTCTCTATTATCTCCTTATTTATATGTCAAGATCTATATACTTGGCGGTATCCTAGTTGTATTTAACAAACAGATTATTATTGTTGTTAGTGTCTCCACATCAGTAAGCGTTGCTTTTCTACTTACAGCTAGTTTCAAATGAAGTGGCTAGCAGTTCCACGAAATGTTTTATCGCATAGACAGTAGAAATGGCTATGTTTAAACAATTTGAGGAGAATATTTTAAATGTGCTTTTACAAAGCAAAATCTTTAAGACCGTAATTATATACTCATTAAAGACATAAAAAGAACTGATAATATTTATTTTAAAAAATGTCTAACCACTGGATTTGAAACTAGTTTGTTATTCATTATGTTTTCAAGTCTGGTAAAGAAAAAAGCGAATACGCGTATTAGAAACTATTTTATAGAATGGAGACGGATAAATGTAGTGATAGTAAAGAGATCAGATTGACACCGGAATCCAAAGGAATTCAGTAGTTTACAAAGTGTTTGTTTAAAAATATATAAACACTGTTTCCTGAAGATAATCGAACCAATATTAAACAACATGTGAGCGAAGCTACTGGAGTACCTATACGCACAGTAGAAAAAATAATTCAACATGCGAATATGTTAACAAACACAGATTCAAATGTTTTACAAGGATTTGCAGCTGCAACATCTGCTAAACAAAAAGCAATTGCGACAGACTTGTCGGACTACGATAAACACTTCATTAGAAATGCAATTTACCATTTCCACGAGACTGAAGGTTATCATGTATTATTGAGCCCTTTGCAGAAGAAGCTTGGAAAGCTTTTTCTAGTCATAATTGCCCTTAGATTTTGATTGTGCTGTACCACGATATGCCTATACTATCTAGCAGACTGTTGTATTGCGTTTCGCTACGCCGTATTTTCGAGTTCCCATATAATTACTTTCGTCTGTGTTTAATCTAAGCCTTTGTCGTCTTTACTCTAGTTCTAAGTTGTCTGGCTCTAGGGTATAAATAATACACAGGCGCCATGATTTGAGGCATATCAGTTTTGGTGTGCAATGGCAGCAGATGTTAAGTAACAGTTTTTTGTTTAGAACTCGCGTTAGCGGTAAGTTCTGTTAATTTTGTTTCTTCATGTTTGATCAGGAAAATATAGAAATAAGTTAATTTTCTAGAGATATCGTCGGGCCGCATTCAGGAGTTGACCTCATTATCACGTCATCACCTTACCTGTTCCATTGTCTGATTTGGATCGACCAGATAAGATTAGTTTGTTTGTCTATATATTTTTTAGAAGCTTGCTTCAAGACACATGGCGTCTAAGGCTTAACGAGCTTGAGATCATTAAACTGGTAATTTCGAGTTAAGTGTGAAAAGTCATTTTACAACTAAACTTACATTTATTTCGTTTATTATGAAGTTACATATAATCATAAAGTGCATTTATTTCTTGAGTATATTACGTGTATAATTTTCGAACCTAAATGTCTACTACCTGAAAATTCACTTATTCTAAATTCCTACGGTATTAAATCTGGAGGACTTTTTCCATGTTATCGAGACCTAGGTGACCTGGTATGCTGAAGTATCTCTCAGAAACTTTAGTACGCACTTAGATCTCGCGAACAGTACCGTTTTCTCATGATCTTATGGAGCTTTTCACATCTTGCATTCAGCGTTTCCTGTGGACGTTGCTGATCAACATCGCTATTTGTATTGTTCTGAAGCTATTTTCTTGTGGCATTGTAAATTAATTACTATTTAACTGAGAATAAGCCACAATTAAAGATAAAAATACGTTTATTGACGTTTCAATTTCCATTTTGGAAATCGTTCTCAAAATACAAACGTCAATAAACGTATTTTTATCTTTAATTGTGGCTTAATGCCAGTTAAATAGTAATTAATCGCTATTTGTAATTTCGAAACTGCTGCTCGGATTAATTCGACCAATGTCATTCCGAACAAATACAATATGATAATATCAGTAGAAAAAAATCAAATGTGTGACAACATCTAAATACCCACTACGGTGTAAAATCGAAATTGATGGGAAAATAATAAAGCAGGAAGCAAGGTTTATATATCTGGGAATAGATATAACTAGTTATGGAGATGTTGAAGAAGAAGTACGACAACAAAGCTTAAAAGCAAGTAAAGCGGCGGGATCTCTTAATGATACAATCTGGAAGAACAAACACCTAAGGCAAGACACAAAAACAAGAATCTATAAAAGCAGCAATTAGACCAATATTAACATACACGGCGGTGACAAGACCTGACACATCTAAAACGAGACGACTACTAGAAACAACAGAGATGAAAATACTCCGACGAATATCAGGGAAAAGTCTGTTGGATAGGGAGAGAAGCGAAAACATAAGAAGAGCATGCAATATAGAAGACATAAATGGATGGGTCACTAAACGAAAACAAGAGTGGAACGAACACATCAGTTGAATGGCAGACAATAGAATAGTACGAATAGCACGAGATAAGTCACCAAATGGACGAAGAAGTATTGGCAAACCAAGAAAAATATGGTGCGACAATTTAAACAATTTAGGAGGCTAATATTGAAGAAGAAACAGGCTTTAAAGCCTACATACAAGAAGGGAGAAGAAAAAGTCATCCCGAACCATTCCACGCTATCTTCGTCCAACTATCTTTTCTTGCATTATAGGATGTACGAACTCATATCTTGTGCCTCTACGGACGTAGCCAAGAAACTCAAGTTTTCACTAATACCCAGCCATTTGATATTTGATCATTCATTATTATTATTATTATTCAGATTTAATCCATGCTGATTTCACTCGTCTAATGAAAAAAATTCACTCATTCCTAATACATACGGTATCAAAAGAATTGAGCACTTTCGTGTTATTGAGACCTAGGTGACTTGATATGCTGGAGTATTTCCCAAAAATTTTCGTACACATCTCACGTCTAGAGTAGTATAGCATTCTGCATTGTCTTATAGAGATGTTCATTTAGACCCAGTTTTTTATGTTTCTAGAAGGTATTTCGGTACGACTCCAGTAGTAGAGAGAATATGTCCAGATTTTAGCCATGGGGCTTCCACTTCCTTTAAGGAGAAAATTCACTTATCAGAGATACCTACGATATCAAAATGAGCTCTGGTGAGGCTCTTTCAGTAGTAGAGATACTGTTAGGTATCGTCTGAGTACCTTTACTTCTCCATTGTCTTCGTATTTGAATTTCCAGATCTCTGTACTTGGCGATCTTTTCGGTGTATTTAACACGCAGATTATTGTTTTTAGGTATCGCCACATAAGTTAGTGTTTTTGTCTAGTTCGTTAATTAATTAGTATAAGACCAGTCTATTATGTGCTACTGATTGGCCTGTGTACACAGTGCGATCCCAGTATAATTTATCGAGCATACTCTCAGAAACGTATGTGATAATATGTACGTACGATAATATGTGATACGGTTGGTTTGGGGAAGCCCAGTTTATTAGGTATCCCTTGTTGAAGGATCTCTCCTACTGAAACATTCGGTTCCTTATATTCAGTTGCAGCAAATGCCTGGCAACCCAGTTGCAATATTGGATAGTTTCTTGGGCTTGACATCCATATTGGTATTTGTCGTTTTGGACCTGAAGTCTTTAACGATATATTTCAGGTAATTTTTGTTTGGTATAACCTCATCTTGAATAGTGAGTACGGAACTTTCTATTTCAAGGTTCAACATTAGTAAATTAAACAAATTTTTTTTTTTATTTAATTTACGAATGTTTGTATTTTGAGATCGATTTCCGAAGTGGAAATTGAAAAGTCAATAAACTTACATTAACCTTTAATCGTGGCCTATTCACATTTCAATAGTAATACTTTAAAATGTCACGAGAAAATAGCGTCAGAACAATTTCAAGGAGCATATTTCATTACTTCAACCAATAGTTTGACTCAGGCATAGTCTTAGCTGACTTCATTGGAATGTCACCCATGCACATAGGGGTTTAGTGCCTAAAAACAAATTTTTACGATTAATCTGAACGAAACAACTGTTTTATCCTTACTATTGTTAGACTTTAAAATACTTTATTCAAACACTAATCACATTACAATACTTGTTTATTTGTTGTTACAATTAATTACATGTAATTACAATTATAATTGTTGTTGGTTACGCGCCTGAATAGTTCAATTGAACTGCATTCAAACCATTCACGAAGATTGTGTAACCACGAGATTTTACGTCTTCCTACGCTTCTTCTGCCTTTGATTTTACCCTGCATTATATTTCTTAGTAGTTCGTATATTTCACCTCTCAGGATGTGCCCCAAATATTCTAATTTTTTTAGACTGAAGTTGTATTGATAAGATCCTATCAGAATAAGGAGTGAAACTTCTCACAGAGTAATTGACCTTTTTTGCAACTAAGATAGAAACACTATAGCGATGATTGACCTCGTTGTTACCTCAATAATACATTATTAACAGTTATTACAATAATACAGTTATTCCTCCCCTGCCGGATTTTAGATTCCGTGCTCCATAATCAGTAAGTTTCTTTACTCTACTTGTCATTTGCCATTCATGACTTAACTAGGGGTACATTAAGAGTCTTTAATGCAGTGGTTCCCCGTTGCCTTCTGCATCCGTACGCCGTTGACCTATTTTTCGATGCATCCGCCTTTAGGACCAGTTTCCCAACCCTTGGACAAAAGAGTGCCCTTCCACTTATTATCTCATCCTCCCGCAGCCGTTGGTCATAAGTGGGGGATTGCTTATACCGGCAATCATTCAGTGAATTACCTGTTGGTCCACGGGAGGTATTTTATTTTCCTTCTACCCACCGGTAAACCAGGTCGGGCATTCCCCTATCCGCCACCTGGGGCGCGCTCTCTATAGGTTACAGGTTCTTCCGAGAGGAGGAACTCCTCTCATTGTAACTTTTACGCAATGGCATCTATTAACTTCAAAAACTCAATAAGTACTGTTCTTAAACTGTTAATTTTCTTTGTTTATATACATTTTCTGACATTCCAGACATTACTGAACATTCCGGGATTTTTCGATGATTTCTCGAACATTCTAGAATTTTAACACCCCTTCTTTTTTGTCAAGGGACTTTTTCTATATGGAATAGATCTCACGAAACTGTCGTAACACTATGAACTCTGATTATTCATTATTATTATTATTATTATTTATTTTTGCTGTACTATATTTTATTGACCATAAGGATATTTATTATTAAATAATATTATTTTATTGTGTTTACAATTTCCGTTATTAAAGTTATTTATATATTTTATTTAAGTATATATTTTCTTTTAGGTCTATTTTGAATTCAATGTCCTGGGTCCAAACAGAACATTTTGAATATTCTTTAACCGGTTGCAAGGCTATTGGATCCAAGGTCCGTAACTTGTGGGAAAAATACTATAGACCAAAACAACAAGAAAAGGCTGATCTTTGAACCTAGTCAACCTAGTTTTAAGTTTAAATATCTAGTACATCAAGCTAAGGGCAGCTTATAATATAATATTCCCAAAGAATATTTTTATATACCATTTGTTAGAGTATCTGTTGCAGCGGTTAGGTTAACTTCTAAAAAAACATCTAGTACAATTTGTCGCTGATGTTTTGTTTGGCATGAGGATGGAGTGGAAACTGTTGATTCCGAAAATAGTCGCATAATAAACATATCTTAACCCTCCGTCTACCAGGCGGATCCATTGACCCCGTTACAATATTCAATGTAATATTTTTCACTTTACATATACATTGAAATTTAGACCAATTCTTACTCCGAAACGTGGCAACGGTGGTATCGAGTGAATGCTATGGCTCAGTGTAGGCTGCACCGCCAATATTCATTTAGCCAATGTGGACAGCGCAAGGATTGATTTCTAGAAATAAACCGCAAATTGACGACAAGTGAACGTGTATTTGCGATGCAGATGTGGTGGTGACTTAAAAAAACAGCGCTATTGTGAGAACATTTGAGTAGAAATTTCCCAGAACTGTGGAGCCCACGCAGCAGGCCTTATTTAATTTGAACTAGAGATTTGAAAGCACAGGCAATGTTGCTGATTTACCTCGATGTGATCGTCCTCGCACTTAAGTCTTCTTTTACAGTAAATTTTTCCACAACTCAGACGTGATATTTTCTATTATCCATTTTAAACTTGTACTTAATATAAAAATTGTTATAAATGTTATTTTGTTGAGAGTATGAGATATACATATATTAGGAAATTTTTAAGCAGACGATTATTATGTGACGGCGTCATTAAAAAATGTGCAACAGATTTGAGAGGAAATAATATATACAGTAAACAATGTTAGATACTAATTACAATCACATTAAAATAACAATTTGCATTATAGCATTAGCGATGCATTTTAAAATATAGGAATGTTCGTGCGTGTTATGTATTAATCTATTGAAGACTGATGCTGTGGACTTACTTTTTGTACGTAAATTAACTTAAAAATAAACTTAATTATTTGTGAAGAGCCATCATGACTGTATAATTGTCTACATATCGTTGGCATATCTAGCATGCCCTCCACTTATTCCTCCATTTGTACTTATAACGTATTGCACTGAGTGGTTTTTTAACTATTTTAGGATAGGCTTCACAATGTTGATGTATTTTTCTATTAAACGACCACTTCTTAAATAAGATAGTAAGTCTATAAATCGTGCTGAAAAATTCAAATTTGTTATTATTTTAGTCATGTAATCATTAAGTAACGAGTTAATGGACTTTATTTTTTGTGTCGAGTGGGACACGGTAAACGACTGAAGCAAGAACTTGAGTTTGTCGCGTGTGGGATATATATATATATATATATATATATATATATATATATATATATATATATATATATTGAAATGATTTCAATATGTTAAAATATATACAACTTTAATGAATTTTATATGAGTTTGTTGTTTATGAATTTCATGAAGCCATCACAATGTGGGTTCGACTCTGAAATAAAAGAGAGAAAAAGATTAGTAAATTAAATGAAATGAGGTTGAATGCTCGAATAAATGAACTTTGAAAATAAGGCTATTATCGAGCACAAGTTAATTAAATCTAGCCCAAGTACTTTCGCTTACAATAGCATCTTCAGGGGCATTTCGTCAAAATAAGAACTATCCGGCAAGCGTAGGATGTGAAAACATTAAAACTAACATAAATTATACAAAACACTACACTAAAACGAGGACAAACAGTTTAAAATTACTTCTACGCTACATTCTCTGTCAGTTTCTGGAGGGATAATCATTATCCCTCCAGAAACTGACAGAGAATGTAGCGTAGAAGTAATTTTAAACTGTTTGTCCTCGTTTTAGTGTAGTGTTTTGTATAATTTATGTTAGTTTTAATGTTTTCACATCCTACGCTTGCCGGATAGTTCTTATTTTGACGAAATGCCCCTGAAGATGCTATTGTAAGCGAAAGTACTTGGGCTAGATTTAATTAACTTGTGCTCGATAATAGCCTTATTTTCAAAGTTGATTAGTAAATTGTTAAATAAATTAATTTTGACTTACCTGGTATAGTGTTAATAATTTCTGAATAGTATAGTTGCCTAGTGTATAGGTGAATCGTCTAAACCTTAAAAAGAACAAAAAAAGAAGAATTTTAAAAAAATATATAAACATAGAAATTTTAATAAACGTCAGAAAATAAACTGCTTGACAGTTTATTTGACAGTCTGTGGGAGCTAAATTAATAGGGGTTTTGTTAAATAAGAAATTACAATGATGTGGAGATGAAAAGAATAAATTAGTATTGTAATAGAATAAGTTTTATATCTAAACATTTTTTTTTGTAAATTCCCAAATTATATGTGATTAAAGTGATTATGAGAAAGTAATGTGGCTTGACAAATATGTCAAACAGGACAGTTTTATGCTTTAAAATATTTAAATAGAAGACAGAAAAAAAAAGAACGTTGGTTGCTGTTAGCAACGGATAATAAGAGGAATTGGTTTTTGGAGAGGACGCCGACGAGGTTTTTTTGGACGAAGGGGAGCCCTGAAACTGTGGAATAGGTCGGGAGTGTTTTTTAACTCGTCTAATTAGAATTTAGTTTTTCCACAGTTTCCACAGCAGAGATATCCAGAAATTTGTTCCAGAGAGTAAGAGAAACAATTTCACTTATAAATTATATTGGAGTATAGAAATGTCATTTAAATTGAGAAAATTAAAATTCATGAATTAACATAATTGCGATAGGCCTTAGAAATTGAAATTATTAATGATCATTAAATTAAATTACTATTTATAACTGGGAATAAGCCACATTAAAGATAAAAATACATTTATTGACGTTTCAATTTCCAATTCGGAAATCCGATTTCCGAATTGGAAATTGAAACGTCAATAAATGTATTTTTATCTTTAATGTGGCTTATTCCCAGTTATAAATAGTAATTAATTTACAATGCCACAAGAAAATAGCTTCAGAACAACATTAAATTAAAAATAGAATAGTACGTACCTTAACTTCCGAAGAGAGGATTGATATTCCAGTTTCACCGATTATTTTTGAGTAGTTAGTTTCCTTTAAAGAAATCAGAACTGTTTTAAAGTGAGGTTGGACAATAATTTTGGGGATCATTTGAAATTTTGATTATATTTGAGTATCAACGGAATAAAGTGTTCATTTTCTTTTTCTTTATAGTTCATTTAAACACTTTATAAAGTTGCAATATTTATTTAGTTTTTAGGTACTTGTAGAGAGTCTCCACATTTTGTAATACATTTTTATTGTCACGTCACTAAACCACGTTAAGACTTAAACGATTCCTATTTTTGTAAATTTTTAAAGGCAACCGAAGTTGCAGACGAATTTTATTGTTTATATTAAATTTGTTCAATATTAATAAATAACGTGCTTCATTTGGGTTAATTTATCAAAGGTCTAAAGTAAATTTTGGTTTAATTTCTTTTTGAACTCTACCAGGAGACTACAGAGTCGACGTCACACAGTGACAGATTGCTTAGAACGAACACATAATTGAGCTAGCCGAGGTATATTAAATTAAACAACGAACCACATATTATAAAAATTACATTTATTATAAAAAAAAAAATTAATAAAATACAACTTTATCAATATATATATATATATATATATATATATATATATATATATATATATATATATATATATATATATACACACAACTCTCCAAATTTAAAGCACCACCTTAAAAGTATCATTGGTTTGAAACTATTTTATGTCTGAACCGTGGATTTTGATGATTTTTTTTCACATTATAGGTCTAGTTAACGTTTTACCTATATACGGAGTGTAAAAATAAAGTTGTGTTCTGTCATCTTAATTTGCAACACTGTGAAATGTATTAGAAACAAACGCTACCTCTTATTAATATTGCGAAAAAGCTTTATCTTTCCTCAACATTTGCATAAGAAAATCCTCTCGATATCTATGATATGCCTAACCCACACTGGGTTGGGCTGCATTCGGAGAAATGAGAGACGTATTTAAAACAAATATACCGAACCATTTAAAAAGAAAAGCTTTTAACCAGTGCGTTCTACTAGTCCTCACATACGGAGCAGAAACCTTAACTCTCACAAAAACATCACCCTAAAAATTGAGAAGGACACAACGAAAGATGGAGAGATCAATGCTTGGAATAAGCTTAATAAATAGAATAAGAAACGAGGAAGTTCGTAGACGAACCGGAGTGGAAGACATTATCGAACATATTACAAGGCAAAAATGGAGATGGGCAGGACATGTTGCAAGAATGAAAGACGACAGTTGGACAAAAAAATTGCTTGAGTGGAGACCACGAGCTGACAAGCGAAGCCGAGGAAGACCCCCAACGCGATGGACCAACGACCTCAAAAGAATCGTGACCAATTAGATAGCAGAGGCACAGAACAGAAGCAGATGGAAAAATCTAGAGGAGGCCTATGTTCAACAATGGACAACTCAGGGCTGATTGATGATCTATGATATAGAGCAACGGTCGGCAACAGGCGGGCCGCGGTCCGAATCCGAAATGAGGAAGGTTGACGTGCGGACCGAACTGCGAAATATCGATTGCTGAGTCAATCAAGTTCAAAATAAAACTGCTGTTAATTTTCAAATAGGAAGTGAAATGATAAATAAACATAGTAACAATTCTGTATAAGTGATGAAATATTGTTTTATAACAATAACTAAAATATATAAATCTGGGGAATTCTGTTAAAAAAATGGCAACTTTTAAAACACAATTTATGAGCCTAGCAACGCTGCTGCCCACTGACTGACAGCCGCTCACTAGTTAGTCAGTGACATACACGTAGCGCACTACCATTAATTTGTTTTGTGATTACTCGCGTTTTCGTTCGTTTTGTAAAACATCTTTTTGTACCTACGTTAATATTGATCCGAAAAGGAGAAAAGTATACAGCGAAAATAGGAAGTTTGTGACAGAATGGACTGAACAATATCGTTTTACACTGCCTGATAGGTTGCAAGTGGTTCCGGTGTGCCTTATATGCAATGAAATTGTCGCCTTAGTTAAAAGCAGAAATTTAAAGCGACACTACGAAACAACTCATCAGCAGTTCCACAAAAACTTTTCTCTTAAAATTTCTTACGAAAAAAGCTCAAAAATCCAAGTTCGCTGCATGAGCGACCAGGAAAAATCCTCAGAGGCAGCGTTACGTGTGTGCTGGATACTTAATAAACACCAAAAAACATTTTCTGATAGTGAAGGAATGTATGCTGGCAGTAGCTAACTCACTTTTTGAAGAAAAAAAAAGATGTTGCCTCAGCAATTCAAAGCATCTCATTGTCAGCACGAAGTAATACACGAAGAACGGAAATTTTAGCTGCGGAAATTAAAAACTCTCTTCTTAAGCTTTTGCAAAAGGCAGTTATCAGTTAGAATTAAATGATTTCGCTTTCTACTGATTGGAGTCCCAGCAATGATTGGCAAAGAAAAAGGTGTAGTAAAGAGGATCAGGGATAAACATTTTAATTTAATAACCTATCACTGTATAATACACCAGGCAGTCCTTTGTGAAAAACTAAGTGCTAGACCTAGTGAAGTTAATTAATTTTATGAGATCTCATTCTGCTCTTCATAACCGATATTTCAAGGAGTTTCTTTCTGAATGCTCGTTGGTCAAGTTATTGAACGTTTCTGGCTAATAAAAGAACATATGATCTCCTTCTTACAAAATATAGATACGCAGGGAGCCAGGGCACATTTTGAGCATATAAAAACAGGTGTAACATGCTGGTCGTGGCTTTTTTAAAAGATATTTTAAAATATTTGAATGCGCTTAACACAGAGTTACAAGAAAATGAAAGATTAGTATGTGATCTGATACAAAGCTTGTCTGCTTTTCGTCATAAGCTGGATATGTTTGAAAAAGATATTGCACAACAAAAATTAATTTATTTTCCAACTATTCTTGAATATAATAAAAATAAGGAGTACTCCGAAGAAGACATTGTAGTGTTCGTAAAATTTCTGGGCGATCTTAGGAACGAATTTGCTTCAAGATTCCAATACTTTGAACAGGTAAGCAAGCTATCTTCATTTCTAAAATCACCATTTGAAGTTAATGCAGCGGCAGAATGGACAGATGTGGCTGCTAAGCTGTTTAATCTGTCAAAAGCATTACTTCAAATGGAGTTTATTGAATTACAAGAAGATTTATTCTTGCTCGTTTATAAATCGGTATCCACCGAAGAATTTTGGGCCAAACATATGCTAGCAAAATATGAAAATTGCAGACAACTTACAATCAATTTGGCCACTATGTTTGGCTCAAGGTATATGTGCGAAACGTCTTTCTCAAAAATGAATTTTTTGATAAACAAATCTCGCTCCCGATTTACGGACGCCCATCTCGAAGATACAATTCGAATTTGTTGTTCGACTCGAGAACCAGACCACAAACAACTAGCTCAAGACCGTCGGTGCAATTTTTCGCATTAATTTAAGGTCTTTTGTTTTATCATTAAGCATGTACCAAAATAATAAACATCTTGTCATTCAATGTTATCATTTTGTTTTTTTGGCCTTGTTCAAATGTTCTTCTAGTATCCGGACCCCACAAAATTGCTTGCTGACTCCTGATATAGAGTCAAAGATTATGCAAAACTTTAAATATAAGAAGTTTTTATAGACATTTTAAGCAAATGAAATCAAAGAAAACACTGCTTATATAAACTTTATTGACATGTAAAACAACTAAAGCCAAAGAACACATAACATGAACAATCTTTAAAAAGTTCTCTTTCTCACGTCCATGAAAACACTTAATAACTATTATTTCTGCCTCTGTTTCTAATTGCTCCCAAACTTCTCTCGCCATAACTTCTTTGTCGTCAAGAGGGACAGATGATGGTTGTCGGCTCCTGAGTTGAAGATCAATAATATATCATAATTTCTTTACGAGATTTAGATCAGGGCTGCAGAGTGGCCAGTTCATGGTTTGTGTACCAATCTTATCCAAATAATCACGGATCACACGTGCAACATGCGGTGCATTAAACGAAAATTGTTTCCTATTTAAGGAGTAAAGGGAACTACATAATTAGACAACATATCTGTAATGTACCTTGCACTTATAGACCATACTGTGAAATAACAATAATCATAATCCAATCACCGGTTCACAAAAAAATCGCTTCTAATTAATGGAACATTTAAGGTGATGCGTTAATTTTGGAGAGTAGTGTATTTACTGTGTTGGATTCACGTATGGACTATATTTCTGAGTGTTTAATCATCATCATAGTCATTAATATCTTAGCATATGTGTTGTGGTTCATCATTGAGCTTCAGCAGCTGGGATAGTTTGATTATTGATATTTCTCCACTGGTTGCATTCATATGTTACATGTACTGCCTCAGTATACTGTTTGTTGAAGAATCATAGCCTGTTACTTTGTTTAACTTAATTCTTTTCGGAGCAAATTCTACCTCGGAAAAAGTGTTTTAGGTTCAGATTGATTCAAAGACTGTGTTGTCGATGTCTGCGAGAGGAGTGCGATGTGTCCCTTTTGAAGGATAGTGGCAAGTGGAGTGCACCTGATATTCAGGTACATTAGGGGTGTTCGCGGGCATCTGATCCATATCGGCATATAAAGACTTATACAATACGACCTCCAAAAATCTATAACCTTGTTAAAATCCGTCTGTACATTGGCTTCATCATCTTTGATAGACCAAGACTTCTGCTTGAAATCTGGGTGTTTAACCGTTCGGAATTATTTTTCCTGTTGACAAGAAAGGATTGTAGACTTTTGACGAAGTCTTGTTCGTTGTTTCTGATAGGTTCTAGTTAAGCTTTACGTTATTCGTTAATGCATCTCTATGGTGGTGTACAAAGTCACCTTCTGCCTTGGATAGATATTCGGAGTGGGATTTTTGCTTATGAATGAGGGTATTGGGTTTTCTGCCTAGTGATTTTTACTGGTGTAGGTTGAAGACATCTTTATTGTGCTTCAGTTTCTCTGATTACTAATTGGTTTTTATTGTTGGATGAATACGATTTGTTGAGATCTGTTTTGTGTCCCTTGGCACGATCATGTATGACTAAGGCTGATAAAATTTGCTTATTTCTTAACTGTAGTTTGTATTTGTTCAATTTTGTTAAGTTTGTCGTTTGTGTTTTTTGATATAAAAAAAGACATATACCTACTACAGATTTCAGCAATTTTTTTGTATATATTTTACAAACTTAATATTGCCATTAACATTTTGTACTAAATGGGTATGTAAAAAAATAAAATATTATATGAATAAATATTTTATTACAATTTCGGATAAGATATTTAACAAAATTAAAAATTAAATATTTTTTCAAACAACTGAAGACATTGTTATCTACCTACTATTTTTATGTTATTCGATATTGTATAATTTCTTTATATTATCCATTAAAAAACACTTGAACCTGGACTTTGTTTTCTTATGGCCTAAATGTAATAATATGGAGATGCGTAGGCGTATCCTAGAAATAAAAAATAAAGAAATTTAATCAATAATTAATAAATGCAGTATTAAACATTCTCCGGAGCACAAAAAAACATGAAGCTACGACTTGAACGCAAAAGTTGGTGCTGAAATAACACAAGATAGAAACGGAAAGTATGGACTTGGAGAAAGGAACGAAAGAGGGCAGAGACTAAAATCTCCAGCTGATCAAGAAGGAAAGGTAGTCAGAAATCTAATCGACTACATTATCATTAACAGAGGTTTAGAAACAGTATTACATATGCAAAAACATTCCCAAGTGCAGACGCAGCAACTAATCATAATCTGCTCTGTGCTGGATTCAAACTAAAATTAAAAATAATAAAAACCCCGACAGCTCAGAAAAAACATAATATTCGACTCCTAAGAAATGCCGTAATAGCAGATGAGTTCGAAAATAAGATGAATCAATGAAATTAAAAAACAGCTAGAAAGATCTGAACAAGAAAATATCTGACAAAATATAGATATAATGAATTCCGCCATGGTTACCATAGCAAACGAAGTTTTAAAATCAGAAAAAGAGCCAGTAAAGAAAAAGGATTGGATGACCGATAACATACTAGACCTTATTCAGCAAAGAAGAAATTGTAAAAATAAAGATGAGACTCGATATAGAGAAATATATCGACAAATAAGATACGAGGTTAAGCGAGCAAAAGAGGACTGGATGGAACAGAAATGTCGTGAGATGGAAGAACTACAAAGAAAACATGACGAGTTTATTATACACAAAAGACTTAAAGAAATTACCTACACTCAGAGAAAAAGAACTGCTCACTTTATGAGAAACTCCAAAGGTAAAATTATTCTTGACTTAAACGAAAAAAAGGAAGAATGGACCAACTACATAAAAAAGCTCTTCCTGGATACGAGGCCACCAGTTAACGCCACAAAGTATACGAATACTGGTCCTATTATTTTAAAAGCAGAAGTAGAGAAATTCATCCAACAAAGTAAAACATGGGAAATCTCCAGGCCTTGACCAAATCCCATTAGACTGGCTCAAACTTCTAGACGACGACAATGTCTCAGAACTAACAAACATTTATAACCACATATACGAAACTGGAATACTGCCACAAATATGGTTGGAGTCTACATTTATTCCACTTCCAAAAAAACCTAATATATTATCATGTAAAGGCTTTAGACTAATTAGTCTCATGAGTCACTCTCTCAAGCTACTTCTTAGGATAATTCTTAATAGAATCAAGCAGAAATGTGAAGACACAATGGGAAATAAACAATTCGGTTTCAGAGAAGGATTGGGAACAAGGGAAGCTTTGTTTTCAATGCTAACACTACTTCAACGATCATGGGAAGTACAGAAACCAATTTACGTCTGTTTTATAGATTTTGAGAAGGCGTTTGATAGGGTTCAACAGGGTAGGCTGTTTGAATATCTAGAAATAATTGGATTAGATGATAAAGATCTGAGACTTTTACAACATCTACATTGGAATCAAGAAGCTTCTATTCTGGTAGACGACAAAGAAACAGACAAAATTTGTATTCAAAGAGGTCTTAGACAGAGTTGTGTGTTGTCTCCAACTTTGTTTAACGTTTACACAGAAATAATTTTTAACAAAGCCTTGGATGGGCAATGTGGAGTTCGAATCGTGGGAGAAACTATTAATAAAATCAGATATGCAGGTGACACCGCAATCATGGCTGAAAGTATCGAAGATCTTTAACTCCTTATCGATCGAGTCACTAGAGAATGCTCTAATAACGGACTAAGCATAAATACAACAAAGACAAAGTTACTTGTTGTTAATAAACAAGACCTCGTCGCTATAAACTATTGTCAATAATGAACCGATAACAAAAGAACCATTTTAAATATCAAGGATGTTGCATAAACGAGACACTAAATCCAGATGAAGAAATTAAAACTCGTATAGAAATTGCAAAAGGAGCATTTATGAAACTTAGATCTATTCTGAGCAATTCTCAGCTGAACTTACAGCTGAGAATTAAGTTCCTAAAATGTTATGTGTATCCTGTATTACTGTATGGATGTGAAACCTGTATTATGAAGGTTAACATGATAAACAAATTACAAGCCTTCGAGATGTGGTTATATCGTAGATTCCTCAGAATATCACAAGTTCAACACATTTCAAACAGAGAAGTCTTGAACAGAGTAGGTCAAGGTGAAGGTGACTTAATAAAGATGATAAAAAAGAAAACTCGAATATCTGGGACATATAATGAGAGGAAGCAGATACAGGATAATGCAGTTGATACTCAACGGAAAGATCGACGGAAGAAGAGGAATTGGTAGAAAGAAATACTCATGGCTCCGAAACCTTCGTTAATAGACTGGCTTATCAGCAGATGAATTATTACATGCCGCGCAAGATCGAGAACGATATCGGCAAATCGTCATGGAAGCTACCCAAGCCTAAGACTTGGGCACGGTACTTAAAGAAGAAGAAGTTTTAAAAAAAAGTTAGTATATTTTCAAAATCTTACGAAAGAAAGAAGAAAATAGGTGAACAGTGCAAGGAAAGTAAAATAAAAGGATTGATACACATATCAAATATAATATAATATATAAAATCAAATTATATAAGTTAGGATAAGTTTAGCAGATGAACAACAGAGTTTTCGTAGTGGAAGATCGTGTACAGATGCAATATTCGTTATAAAGCAAATTACTGTGAAATCACTAGAGTATAATAGACTAGCATTGCTGTGTCTGATAAAATACCAGAGAATAGAAAGCGTTAGACAGAGTTAGACTCAAAGATGTAATACATCTTCTGTATAATAGAGAAATTCCCCTAAATATTATATAAACTATCGAAAACATCTACCAAAAGAACAAAATGGAAGTCAGAATAGATGGACAACTTACAGAACCAATATAAATATCCAGCTAAATAAGACAAGGAGATATATTGGCCCCCTGCTCTTCAATTTGATGATGGATGATATCATCAAAAGCGTTAATAAAGGAAGAGGATACAGAATGGGAAACAAAGGAATAAAAATACTGTGTTGCGCAGACGACACTAAATTGATAGACAAGATGAACATAGTCTACAAATAGATTTAACATAAGAGCAAAAAGAATTTAATATGAGAATCTTATTTTAGAAAACTAAAACAATAATATTCAGCAAAGAACCAACCAGATGTTAAATAGAAATTGATGGCATCAGTATTGAACAAGTAATGGAAATAAAATACTTGGGAATTACACTGCCTAGCTATGGAGACCTGGACAAAGAAGTGAGAGATCAAGTATAAAAAGCAAATAGACTGGCAGGATGCCTTAATAAAACTATATGGCGAAACAGACATATTAACAAATAATGACATATGCCTCAGAAACCAGACCCGACACAGCCACAACGCAAAGGCTACTGGAAACGGTAAAGATGAGAGTAGTGAGAAGAATTACAGAAAGTACGCTGAGAGATCGAAAGAAAAGTGAAGACATTAGAAGAAAATGTAACAAACAGTGTATAAATGAATGGAGACATAAAAGAAAAAAGAATGGAATAACCACGTAAGGAGAATGAAGGAGATCCATGTCGTCAAAATAGAATAGCTCTATTGATTCCCTCTTCTGAATTCGAACCTAGTATAAAAGTAGCAACTAATCCATTTTGAGTTTTTTTTTCGAATCTCTTGAAACTAGTTTTGAACTAAAAATCCTAAAGTGAGATATATCTACGTACAAACTTTGTCTGCGGCAGTTACTGACAGATTATGAAAATTTCGTCAAATTATACTCAAAAAATAGCGAAACATGCCGCAACGTAGTTTGAGTTTAATGTGCTCTGGGTCTGATAAGTGTAGATATAGATATTGTGATAAATATTAATGATTTTTAAAGCTGTAAGTTTTTTTAAATTTATAAAAGATAATATTATTAGAAATAACTTACCGTAAGCTGGCCAGTAACCATACGAATAAGATACGGGGTATCCATATGCTAACCATTGTGGGTTAGGATTTGGATGTGGAACAGGTGCTGGTGCTGCAGAGGTCATCATGACACAGAGCATGGTAACAAACAACTAAAAAGAAGAGGCGATGAAAAATGGGCTAAATATTATTATTTCGACAGTTTTACTTATTTAGCGTATGGCCCAACGCATCGTTAGTTAATATGCTTTAAAAATGAGTCCCTAAATAAATATTGCAGTGTGTTAAAAGATCCAGTTTAGCTATCCATGAAAGGCTTGAATGTGTGGTATCTAAAAAGTTCTTCAATTCCCCCACATATGCTCTAAGTTCACACTCTTTTACTTTTTGGTAGAGAAATAAATCTGAAGAATATCAAGAAAGTACCTTGACAGACTGAGAGATCACAAAAATGAAGAAGCAAGACTTCTAAACGCACCAGCGGGAAAATATTCGAAGGTTGAATTTGAATTTTTACAAGGCAGATCAACAATAGATGCGATATTAATTATAAGATAGTTGATCGAAAAATAAAGTAGTACAGAAATAAACGCTTATATAGTAGGTATTCATTGATCGAAAGCGTATGAGATAATACTTCGAGAGATTCTGTTGTGGACACTCAATAATAAAGGGGTTCCCGATGCTACTTCCCAATATGTGAAGATTTTGAGAGATAGTATGTATGATGAAGTAACAACTAGTGTTAGGGCAAATACGTAAAAAATGACATACATGTACAAAATGGCATATCATAGTTATTAGTAATGTAATTTAACGGCCTGTGAAATGGGCTTACGTCCATCGCACTCATTTCGATATTATCGTGTTTGTACAGTATAAGCTTTTGTACAAACGAAAAGTTTTATGTATAAATGGTAAGTTTTTCGCGATTTCACCTATTTTTGTTGTATTTATTTTATCACTAATGGATTTGTTGTGTCTCTGATATAATGTATTCTACAAAAAAGGACTCTTTGAATTTATTTTCTTTAATTTTTTCTTTCATAAAGCTATATGGACAAAACGACATAGCTGAACAACGAACATAATGACATAGGTATGTCATTTTGTTTTTATCAATTCAGTAATGAACTGAAAATGTAATCTAGGTATTTATTTATTACAAATATACCAAAATACCTCGCAATTATAAGCGTAAGATTGATCGCCAATCCTGGAGTGAATATTCAATGCAGAGAGCTACAGAAGCAGTTCAAAAAAATGAAATGGGTTGGTTATTGGGATCAAAAATATTTGGTGTTCCTCAAGCAACTCTACGGAGGCACGCATTGGGCAATAATAAAACTTTGGAATCCAATTCAAAAGGTCTTGGATGCTGGAAACACACCTTCTCTTGTGACGTGTAAAGACAATTAGTGCAGCACTTGAAATTCCTTAAATCTCGTTTGTTTAGGTTGACGCGCGCACCGTTCAAGAACTAGCTTTTCAGTTTGCTGAGAAAAACAACTTTGCTCATAAATTTAACTTACTAAAACAAAAAGCTGGACAAGAATGGATGGAAGGATTTCTAAGATGAAATAAACATATATCTTCGCGGAAACCTGAGCCTACTTCAGGAGCTAGGGATCAGGTCTTTAATCGGCCTCAAGTCAAAAAGTTTATTCAGTTATATGAGAAACTTCTGGAGTCTGTAGACTACAATCCACATAGAATATATAATGCTGATAAATCGGGCCTTTCGACTATACAAAAACAACAGAAAATTTTGGCTACTACTGGTAGAAACCAGGTTGGCATTATAACTAGTGCAGAGCGCGGAATACACACCACTACTGTTTGCTGCGTTAATGCGATTGGTACATTTGTCCCACCGATGATGATATTTCAGAGGAAAAATATGAAAAATGAACTTGTCGACGAAGCTCCTCCAGAAACTTTAGGTGTGGCTCAACAATCAGGATGGATAATAATCGAAACATTTTTAAAATGGATAAAGCATTTCCAAAATTTTGTAAAAGCGTAATGACGATAAAGTTATTCTTATTCTTGATGGACATGCAAGTCATACGAGGATTGATGCTTTAGAATATGAGAAACAAAACGGCAGCAGTATTATTTGCCTGCTTGTATTATGCCGTATATAAGCATATGACAAGGCAGCTACAGTGCAAAATGGTTGTAACGAATTCAAAAAGATTATATGTATGAACCTGCGGAAACTATAAATAGACCACTGGAAAATATCCCCAATGAGCAACTTGAGTAGCCAACGACTTCAGGTGATATTTCAAATGCTGGGCTATCTAAACAACCATACGGTATTTCCACTACTGGGCCATCTAAACAGCCACAAGTTGATACCTTTTTGCTTTCTGCAACAAATATTCTACAAGTTACTCCGACTACACAATCTCAGTGCAAGCTGCATACATCCATGCAATAAGCCGATAATGATTAATATCAAATTCCAGTATCTAATATTTTACAAAACTCTATTAGAAAACGTATTTCACAGGATAATTGTCTATCTACCGACAAAAAAGAACATGCCTCGACTTCCACTCTTAAATTTATTAGTGGACAGGGTAAACGTAAACCAAAGACTCGTCAAACATCATCAGTTCTAACCTCTACTCCTAATATAGAGGAAATTGAAATGTGAAATAATTGAAAAATAAGCACAAAGATCCTCCAGCAAAGAGAAAAGGACACGTCAGTAATAGGTTAGTTAAAAACGACAGTGAAGAAGAAAATTTGTTTAACAACATTAAAAATGATGATCTCGAAGACTCTCCATGCATATATTGCAAGAATATTTATTCCCACTGCAGGGCTGAAGAAGATTGGGTGCGGTGCAATATGTAATTGCTTTCATTGGGCTCACGCTGCGCTGCTTGTGCTGACGCGAAGTTCCAAAAAAAATTCTTTGGGTTTATTTGTGAGCTATGTAAATAAATATTTTTTTTAATTAAAAATAATTAAATTTATGTGTAAATTATTTTGTTGACATTCTATTTTTTTTAATAGGACAATATACATATAGCATATGGACAAAATGGTTTTTGGCTAATCTCAGCTAAATTAAAAATATTTTTTTTATGTTAAATTTACTTAATAATTAATGATTAGCTTCAATATATAGAGAACATAATAAAACCATTATGCCATTTTGTACGTAGGTAATTCCCTTATAACAAGCTTGAGAAAGCCTAATACATTTCGTGAGCAAATATGATTGCATCAAAGTGTGCAATCACCTATGCCTTTCGTGCTTAATATGTGCTAATCGGATGATGTCAGTAGAAAATACTGAAAGTGAATTAAAGCAAAAACTAAAGGTAGGTACAATGAAGGTTAGCTATCGAAGAAAAAGATATATAGCTTCGTATTAAAAAAAAAAACAGAGAATCGGATAGGATTTGAACTCGGATCTCCTTTATGCCAAGATAAAATCCATGCCATTAACTACCGATCGTTAATAACATTTGTAAATATTTCCCAAAAAATATACTAATTAAAAACTCTTAGACTATTTCAATTCTTGGTAGAACATTATAAAAACATAAATTATTTACAAAAAATACACAAAAATATTTTTCTTCATAATTCACTTATTATGTTTAAGGATATTTATTGTTTCAATGAAATTGTGCTAAAAATTAAACAAACAAAACTTACCACCAGAACAATATTGAGAAGCCCCATGTTCTTCATATTGACTGCTGCGTATTCTTAGCGTTACATAAGAAAACTGCAGAAAAATTCACTAACGCGCCATTTATAATAATTAGTATATATTAATAATACAATGATTAAAATTAATTTAGTCACCACATTTTATGCAGCCACGCCGATATGGGCGTGTATAAAACCAACTTTTTAGGGGTCAGATTTTGAATAAAATATAATAGCATAACGTTTATAAATAAGTTTTTTTAACTTCAATGAGTACAGTAATCTGCCCACATGGGCTTCTCATTTTCTTCTTTGAGTGCCTCTCCTATCGGAGATTGGATATCATTATGGCGATTCTAATTTTATTTACTTCTGTTTTCAATAATTCGTTAGTGATACAGCCAAACCACTCTCTTGAATTTCTCGTCCAGGACATTTTTCTACGGCTTGGATTTCTGCGTCCTTGGATTTTTCCTTGCATTATATTTTGTAGGAATGTGTACTTTTGTCCTCTCATCAGGTGGCCTAAGTATTCAAGTTTTCTCTTTTTTATATTCATAATAACTTCTGGATCGTTATTTATTCTGCGTATTACCTCTTCATTTGTAATTTTATCCACCCAACTTATTTTTAGTATACTGCGGTAGCACCACATCTCAAAGCTTTCAAGATTTTTAATATTCCCCTGTTTAAGAGTCCATGCCTCAACACCGTAAAGCAAAGTACTGAATACATAGCATTTTAACATTCTAGTTTGTAGATAAATACTAATATCACGATTGCCCACATGGACAATAAGCTTTTATTTTGTTAAACCTACTGACATGTAGAGAGTTAGTCCAGTGAGTAGCCTTATCTTATATTATGCAAGAATGTGTCAAACAATTCTGATCCATTTTGTTATTAATACGAACTCATAATTTAGCTCAGTGTGGCCGAACCTCAGGCACGCGGGCCGCATGCGGCCCGAGTCACGTTAAACTGCGGCGCCGGAAACACATTGCCATTGATAACTTTTACCTGTTCCAACCCTGTCGAACTTTCCGTAGTCTTAAGAAAGTAGTTAATCTTGAACACCTACTCTCGATGAGGGGGCAGTTAGCTGCAGTCAGCTGCACGTGTCGTGTTGAATTAACAGTGGCGAATAAATTGAATGTTAAAAAACGCAAAATTTTCTAAGATAATCGTACGTTCCAAGGAAAATGGGAAAATCAATATTTCTTCATCTAATTAAAAGGCAAACCTCAGTGCATTATTTGTTGTCAAGTACTCGCGGTATCAAAAGAATATAATATTAATTGTGAAACCCAGCACAAAACAAAATACGACAAATATCAAGGTGAAGCTCGCAATACATGTGTAAAAGAACTTAAAGCTAAATTGAATAAACAAAAATCTCTATTTACAAAACCGACAGCTGTTTAATCATCAAACTTAGCAGCATTATATGAAGTATGTTTAAAGCTTGTAAAAAGTAAAAAAGCATTTAGAGATAGAGAAATGATCAAGCGGCGTGCCGTTAAAATGTGTTTCAGTTTCCCATCAAACTATATCTAGAAGAACTTTGAGGGTATACAAGGCAACTATCGAACACGGTGATTAATTTAATCTTGCCCAAGTACTTTCAATCAATAGATCATCTTCAGGGGCATTTCGTCAATTGTGGACTATCCGACATAGTAGAATGTCATAAATTTAAAACTGGACATAACAATACAAAATACACTACACTAAGACAAACAAACACTTTAAAATTTATATGGCGAAGCTACATATTGTGAAGAAGCCGGAGACAGAATGATGTCAGACAGAATCATTCTGTCTCCGGCTTCTTCACAATATGTAGCTTCGCCATATAAATTTTAAAGTGTTTGTTTGTCTTAGTGTAGTGTATTTTGTATTGTTATGTCCAGTTTTAAATTTATGACATTCTACTATGTCGGATAGTCCACAATTGACGAAATGCCCCTGAAGATGATCTATTGATTGAAAGTACTTGGGCAAGATTAAATTAATCACCGTGTTCGATAGTTGCCTTGTATACCCTCAAAGTTTAATTATTCGAACATTCAACCTTATATTGATTGATATCTAGAAGAGTTGATGAGCTGAATACTCATGTATTTAAAAAAATGGACGACACAGTTCGTGATTGTTTGTTCCTTCTACTCCTTAGCCCTGCAAGAATCTGTTGATCTCTCTCTTCAATCCTGACCCCCCAGGGGGAGTGTAGTGGTCGACGTGATGTCGTGTATTGTCCGTCTCCAGAGATCTCTGTCTCTGGTCATTTCTTTTAATTTATGCATAGGTCTTTGGCATATTCCTGTAATTTGATCTATCCATCTTGTTGGGGATCTTCCTCGTGATCTTCGGCCTTCTACCTTTCCTTGTATTATGAGTCTTTCCATGTTTTCGGTGTTTGCTCTCATAACATGCCCAAAATATTTTAATTGTTGAAGATGGACTTTACTAGAGAGTCGTTGGCTAACTTTTAGCTCTCTTAAAATTGAATTATTTGTTCTGCGGTTGGTCCAAGGAATTCGTAACATTCGTCTCCAACAGAACATTTCAGTGGCGTCTATCTTTCTTCTCTCCGATTGTCTCAGAGTCCAAGATTCACATCCGTAGGTCAGTATTGGGAATATTAAGCAGTTGATCAACCTCATCTTTATCGCTCTTGAAATTTGACAGTCCTTCCATATTTTGATCATTTTTGTTGTGTCAACTTTTGCTAGATCACATCTACGTTTAATCTCTTCTTGTAATGACCCTGTGTTTGTGATTAATGATCCCAGATATAAGTATGAGCTCACAACCTCGAACCGGTCAATTGTGGTTATGTGTGGATGATTGTTGTGTAGTCTATCCACTATCGTGATTTTTGTCTTTGATATGTTTAATTGCAGACCAAATATTTGACTTTCGTTTTCGATCAGTCGTATAAGTTCTATCAGCTCTGCTTGACTATTTGCAAGAAGGGCTGTGTCATCTGCGAAACGTAGGTTGTTTAGTTTATGACCATTTATTGAGATGCCCTTTTCCCATCCTTCAAGTGCTCTTCGCATAATATACTCCCCATATATGTTGAATAATTGTGGAGATAGTATACATCCTTGTCTGATCAACTAATCTGTTGATATTACTGACAAAAATCAGCGATTAATTTGTCAGTTGTCATTTGATCAGTGAAGATTTTTGTGTAACTGAGGAACTTCTAAATCGGCACCACATGGAAGACGGGACCAAAGGTATAAATATATTTGAAGCAGTTAGTGACGCTGTGAAAAATATAGGCGGTTTTCAAAAGTGCTCTTGCGTTTGCACCGACGGAGCAAAAGCAATGACGGGACGCATAACGGGATTTGCTGGACTTTTGCGGGAAAATGGTGTTAACTGTGTTATGTTTCATTGCATTATCCATCAAGAATCTCTCTGCGGAAAGATAATTAAAATCAACGATACTATGAAAATTGTAGAGCAGATAGTAAACAACTTAAGAGGAGGAAACAGCTCTGCGACACCGAAAATTCATCTCTTTCTTGGAGGAATTAAATACTGAATATAAGGACGTCCCCCTACATTCAGAGATACGCTGGTTGAGTGCAGGTAAATGCTTTAGAAAATTTTTTTCTTTAAGAAAAGAGATCTTACTGTATTTTGAAACGGAAATTGTTATTAACACGGACGTATTTATAACAAAGCTTGAGAATAAAACATTTCTTCATGAACTGGCATTTCTAACAGACATTACCTCTCACTTGAACATATTAAACCTTCAACTCCAGGGGAAAAATAAGATAGCATCACAGTTGGTTGGTCAAATTTAGACATTTCCCAAAAAAACTTGAACGTTTTGAGAACTACATGAAAATAAACGACCTCACACATTTTTCTGTGTTTCGAAATAAATCAAGAAGAAACTATGGTCGATTTCTCGAGGTTTGAAAGTTCTTATAGCAATAAAAAGGGAATTCGATGAAAGGTTTTTGGAATTTCATGCACTAAACCGGATCTTGAGCTTTTTAACAATCCAATTAGAGTCAACATTCAGAACCAATCAGCAGAATACCAATTAGAGCTGTGCGAACTAGAGTCTGATTCGTTTTTTCAAGCAAAGAAAAATAAAGACATTAGTACATTTTGGAAGTTAGTCTCCAAGGATCGTTTTCCTAAACTTCGTAACTTTTCGTTGAAAGCTACATCTAGAGATAATGACATGGGTTTATAAATTTGCTCAATGAAGCTAAAAAATAACTCAAAAAATTGATGCAGAAATTTCATTTTCTGTAGTTCACACAGTTCGACCAAGAAGAAAAAGGACTTTTTATGGTTATGAACATAAAGATGAGCCAATTCAATCTCCAGAATTACATTTTAAAGTAAATTTGTATTTTTATATGCTTTATATTTTGGTTTTTTAAATAATTTAAGTGTCTTTTCTAAGGAGGAAATAATGAAATATTGTACCAATTTAGAAACTAAACTTTATTTCCTAATTTATTTGTTGCGCTTAGAATATTTTTAACTATGCCAGTCGCTGTAGCTCACGGGGAGCGATCATTGTCAAAACTTAAATTAATAAAAAACTACCTAAGATCTACCATGAGTTAATCCAGGCTTACAAATTTAGTTATAATAAGTATCGAGAAAGATATTTGTTTTAATTTAAATGTGACTGACCTAGTTAGGAAATTTTCACTTAAAAAGAAAGAAAAGTCGATTTTAGTATTTAGACGTGTATACCTACCTAGTGTTGTATTTATTTGTTCTTTATTTTACTTTATTTTTCGTTAAATAACTACGTAGATTTGTATTTTGGTTATACCAAATTATATTTATGTACATAATATGTTGTATAAGCTCATATTTATATTATAGGTATATGTATTCGTTGACTTAATAAATATATTTTTATGATTTACATGTTCAAAATTATGTTTTTATTTTCCCTAATTTGCGATGTTTTCTTATGCACGTTTTCCAAAACTGCTGATGAAGCGGCACATTGCAAAAAGCGGCATTTAATAACGAAGGTGATAGTGAGGGGATTCGGTATCAGGTGCAAGTCTAATGTTATGTTGATTAGAAATGCCCACCTCTTCAGTGTCATTTGGATTAGGCCT